GATTACGTTCTGAAAGTTTCATTAAGATTGTACGTCTAGAAATTAAATTATTCAATAAAAAAATTCTCAAAATATTGCCAACGCTGCAGCGCATCCCAAACGCAATCGTATATGTATATGTATATGTGCGTGTGTGTGTGTGCTTGTGTTTGTTTGTATACGTGTGTGTGGGCGAATTATTATTGAAATATCAGTTGCTTGGAAGGTTCAGGGGATCTCGTAGTCGAACAGTCTCGACTAGAGTGTTCTTACTTGTTTTATATTTGCCTTCAGAAGAATTTAATTGAATTGTATATCTTAACACTGTTGATATTAGGTATATGTAGTTTTGTTCATTAGTTTATATACATTTATTTCATAGATCTACCATTAATTACATATGAGACTAACTATATACTTACATTTAGGGCTATTACTTCCATCTATCGTCAGTTATTCGATCTATTTTAACCTAAAACTGTATTTATTTGGGGTATATAAAAATAATTCCTAAAGAAACATGTTTTTTTTTTGTAACTAATATGGTCAGTTTTTTCTTCCAATCAGCTTACGCTGATTTTTAATAATAATTTTATATGAACATAATAGCTTAGAGACTTTTATATTTTATCTTGCACAATATCACTAACACTAACAATACAACACATAGAGAAAATATTTGTGAAATTTTGGATACACGCATATAATTTGGGATTCAGCTTCGTACTTTCAGACTTGAACAAAGAAATGTTTGGAATCTTAAAATCAGTGCGCTTCGAGCGTTCAGCCGAAATAAACACATTTGTTTTTGTTATTTACCCTCCGTTCTTTGAAGTGTATAAATATATACATATGCATAAATAAGCATACATTTTTATTTCCTGAGTATAGCAAAATCTCGAAATACATACGTTTGCATTATTATTCTTGGTTAAAAAAAAATAAAAGAAACTTTCTCGAGACGATCAAACATACAAACCTCTAGCTGCCGAGAACTTAGTTTAATTTGTTCAACTTACAAATCTGGCTCTTACATTTATACACAGTCATATCTCCATATATGTATAAAGCCTCCAGAAATTTTAAGATTA